ATTTATTTAATGGGAAAGTTGTGTATAGAGAGAGGGAAATTTTTTTGTATAAACTTGCCTTAATGTTTTGAATGTCTATATTGCTTTTTTATAAAATAAAATAAAAGTTTTATTACAGGGAAGCTTGATTTACCTTTGTTGTAACCATGGCCTTTTTAAGCTGATTTAGTAGGGACTAAAAACGAAGTATCTGTTTGAGAGGCACGAAAAATGGTTTCAATTTAACATAGAGTGTAAACTGTTTGTATCGTTATTAGTATGACTACTTTTTATGAACAGCAAAAAGCCTAGATCTACCCCTCCCTTGGTCCACTTTTAATTATGAGGATCCAGTGACCGCAAAAGAATCTCAAGAGTGGGGAGGTTCTCTCCCTCCCTATATATATACATACATTAGTATTAACTGAATTATTATTTAGTATTAGTCTGAACCTCACAAAATTCGAACTTGCAATTTTAACTTGATGGTTCAAATTGTTTTAAAATTAATAAAAGAAATTTTTTACCAGTAAATTATTTATCTCTCATTAAACGGTATTTTTTCTATACTGTTACAGTACAGAACCCGTTATCCGGAAATCAGAAAACCGAAAAACCGGAACGAGATTCGATAAATTTTCCCGCCATTTTTTAAAAAAAAATTTTTTTCCTCATAAGATTTTAGGGTTTTTCTTTCTTTTTTGAAAGATTTTCACCTTACCATTATTTTGGAAATAATCATTAGTGTATTACTTCATCGTTTTTTCTTCTTTTTAAGATCATTTCCCAAAAAAAATTTTTTTTAATTGGGTTTAACAATGAAAAAACGGCTTTTTGTAGCGATTCAGAAAACCGGAAAAATCAGTTATCCGGAATAGCGATGGTCCCGATCGTTCCGGATAATCGGCTCCCTACTGTACTTTTTTTTTTAATTATCTTCGTTGGAACATTTGAAACCAAGACTTTCCCCAGTCATCAATTGGATGAGTAAGGGATGATTTGGTATCAGTTTTCTCTAGGGAAATGTTAAAGCTTGCTTGAAATGGGGACATTTTTTAGAAAGTCTCAATTTATTATTTTTTTCTTAGAATTTCTTTAGTCGCAAAAAATTATAAATTTTTTATTGAAAATTTAATAACACAAATATTGAGCGAAAAATTTGTATCTTAAAAGGGGATGTATACCTTCATTTATAAAATGTGAGAGGGCTAAAGCCCCTTTGCCCCCAAGTTCTGCGGTCCCTGTGAGGATCTTTTATTTTAATGTAACATTTGTTTTCTTGAAAACTTTGCTAACTTCAAAATTATTGAGTATTTTCCATGTGAGTTTTTTTCTTAATTAAATTATTAGATATGTACATTAAACATTTTATAAAAAATGACTAGCACCTGCCAGTTGGATGTTTCTTAATGTGCAGAAAAGAATGCTCCATAATATTATTTATAAAAGTGTATTTTAATTTATTTTAGCTAAAACTCTTTTATGTTAAGTGTTCTGTAAATACTAAGATTTATGTTATAATTTATTGAATTTTTTGTATTTACTTTATTTTGTTGTCTGTCGATTTTTATTTATTTATTTTTATCACTTTAAAAAAGCTTGTTTTTGCGATTTAAGTAATGATTGTTGTACTTAATTTGAGCAATGATAAAACTTGACCATTTTTGCCAAAATTTGGTGTATTACATTAATTAGAATGAATATTTATTTCAAATTTGTTTAATTTTGTCTACTGGCATTTATAATTAAATGTAAAATTTTAAAAATGTGTTAAACAATAAAATGTTTTTGTTTTTAAGTTTTGTTCTTACAAATATTTTTTCCTGCTCTTTCTATCCATTTGGTAAATATACTTCAAGCATTTTATACTGTTGACTTTTATTTTAAATTTTTTCCGCATTTTATAAATAATTCAATGCTTTGGGTCAAGTTTTATCATTTTTGGTCACTGAATGTTTTGCATTAGTTTTCAGAGTATGTTAAAATGAGAAGAAAACTCAGCAATGCAAGATTTCTGTAAAATTTTCTTATGAGAACAAATATGCAAGCTCATAACTATGTGTTTGATATCCGTTTTAACTAAGCGTAGCTACCCGGATCTAATTTAGTTTATGTAATACTTGTGTTTTTATTCATGTTAGATTTATCTTCACATCTTGTGATTTGTTTTTCTTACATTATCAAGTTAGAAATCTACCAATTTATTGTCTTAGACTGATATTTCTTGATGGAATGAGCAATAAACATGTTTAGGGATGACTACTTTCTTGTTGTAATTTTTTTCTAAACATTTCTCAAATGTTGGGACATTTTACTTACAAGAAAAGGGGTTTAACCTTCCATTGCATGTTCAAGGGAAAAGAATAATGCAAAAATTGAAGAACAATTTTTCTTTTTGTTCTTTTTTTTATTGATAATATTATGTATACAGAGAGTTTCCTGGTGACTACCGGGTGGGGCGACTTTGGGAGGTCACAGTAACCTCTCAAAAAATTTTATGATTCCGCAAATTTTGTTTGACACAACAAAATTGTTCTGTTCTTGGCATACTTGTTTCTGTTTTTCAACCTCTTTTATCTCGCAGCTACCGTAGTTTTTATACTGTGGAATTTTGTTCTTCACTTTTATTTTTCTACTTTTCGTTGGCAACTTTAGGTTTTATATTGGTGATCGAAATGGGCTGCAGGTGGGCGTAGAGCCACCCATGCAACACTTTGCATGCTTTCCCCAGTAGCGTGTGGAGAGTCATAGAAGAAGGAAGTACGTTAGATTCCGTCTTGATTTTCATACAGTTTAAATTCGTTTTAAGTTGGGAAACTATATGGAGCTGAAAACTACATTAAACATAGTTCTAAAAGAAAGCATCATGGAAGGTTTAAAAAATAAATTAAAATTTTTTGAATTTAAATAAATTAAAAACAAAAATATTACGATAAGGAAAAATATCATAGTTCATTCCTATACAATTGAAAAGGGGAGGAGAGGGAAGGGAGAAGGGCCAAAGGCGTAGCGTCCTTTTCGTCTTTCAAGTCTTGAAAATGGTTACGTATNGATCATTAGAACGAAAGTTATTCAGGGTGATATCTTTTTTTTTGCGGACTGTACTTTCAATTTAGTTTTCAACAAATCAATTAACAAATAAATTTAGAAGACTAAGCATGCTATGATGCATTGATGTTACTTCAAAAAATAAAACCGTGATATTTTTTAACACAACATGCTAAACTTGGCACACCTTAAACTTTATTTATAGTGATATTAATTTTCTTAAAGGAAAGTTTTTGGTTAATGACCCGTTAGAATTTATAAATTACAGAAAACTCTTATGAATTGTAAAATTTCATGAATCTGTTCACACATCGCGTCGTAAGCATGCATCGGAAGTTAAATTTCTTCCGGCTTTAGGAAGCGTGTTATTGTTTACATTCAGTCAACCATACAGGTGAATCATCAATTTAATTACTTATGCTGTAGAAACTTAGCCGCATTATTCAGTTTAGTGGGAACTATTAGTAAGGGAATTATTATCAATATTTTTTTCTTACAGCCACGTACACTGTCTATACATGGGTAACTCGTCTCACTTAGTACAAATTTCGAATAAGTTTTGAAGTTATGGGATGATTTTCGCAGTTTTTCACCCCAATGACTAAAGTTTAAAAAAAATATCGAAAGAACCGTTGATCTTTTTTTAAAATTTCACATAAGTTTCAGAGTAATGGATTTTTTAAAATTTTGGTGTTTTTCTTTTACAATCCTGAAAGCTAATAAAAAATTCACATTTTCTTTTACATCGTTTGGGCACAACGAGCGTCAAATATATTCCTTTTATTTATTTGTTTTTAAAACCAAAAATAGGATTATTAAAATAAGAGATTCATGGAATATTCTATTTTTATTCGGTTTTCGACTCTATTTGCCGATCACCAAATTTTTTGTTATTTGGTTCGTAGGATAGGGAAAAATGATGTCATATATCTAAGATCGATATCTTAGCTGCGAATTAATTTTTTTCATTAATCTTATTAATTGCCGCCTAATAGAATAACTAATTATTAAACCGTTATTAAGTAATATATTGGTAATCTTAGCAACAAAATAAATTTAATTTTTTATTTAAAGCAAATGAATTATATATATATATATATATATAAGCTAAGTATATATATATAGTCCCGCAGTGGACTGATCGTTAAGACACGGTTCTCATCAGATCACCGAAGTCAAGCATCACTGGCTACTGTCAATGTCTTTCTTTTGGAATATAGTTTTCAGTTCCACATAGTTTCCCAACTTAAAAGTTTTAATCTATTTAAAAATCATGACTTGTTGTTGTTGTAGTTCATTTACGTCGCACTAGAGCTGTACAATGGGCTATTGGCGACAGTCAGGGAAGCATTCCCGAGGATGATCCGAAGACATGCCATCATAATGTTGATCCTCGGCAGAAGGGCTGACACCCCGCTTCCGTAGCCCGATGAACTGCGAAGTCGAGCACTTTACGGTAGAACAGTTTAAAGAGGATCAGTACCGCACACCCTCGGTCCCTACGCAGACTGATCTAAGTGGTCCCCATCAGTTCACTGCGGGACTTGTAAATCATGACAAAAACTAACGTACTTCCTGCTTTTATAACTCTCCACTCTCTAATGGTGAAAGTATGCGAAGTGTTGCTATAAGTAAAGAGTTCAGCAGTACGTCTGCTGTCGCCCATTTTTTCGATCGCCAATATTTGCTTGTGTATTTCGCGGGTATATTTGCTTGTGTATTCATCAATTCACGCACACAAATACCTCAGGCAGTGAGAATGCCTCTTATAAGTGCATGTTTGTAATTCGATCTGCTTTAGATTCATGCATTTAATTACTCAGATATGCAGTTTGCACAAGCATAACCATCTTTTTTGTACTTATATGCGCCTGACGCACTTACGCAGGCGCGAATCGCATGCAGTGAAAATGCTTTCGCACGTTGTCAAGCTGAATGTGGCTAAGCTATTTAGGGCAACTAATAATTAATATTTACTTATAAATTTGTATTTGGCAACAATAGATCTTTTTTTCTGTGTGAGCTTGCTAGCGTATCTTGATATTAAATCGTCTTGGATAATGAAGAAGAAAAATCAATAAACTAAATATTTATTTACATTAATTATTTTTAGTCACCTGAATTATCCATTCTTTATATTTATTATTTAAACCTTAGGACGTTTTCAAGTTGAATGGTAAGACTTCGGGAATTTTCATTATTTGGTAGATTGTTATGTATATACAATAATAAGTGCATCGCATCCAATCTCATTCGTAATTTCCTGTTCTTTATTGCAGTTCATAACATCTTTCTGATTGATTTTTGTTCTTAATCTATTAATGAGTTTAATCATTCGGTAATAAATGTAAAATAAAATATTAAAAGTATAATTTGTAAACGTTAAACAATGGATCATATGCTGTAGGCTGTCAAATGCTTTTAACTAATTTGTTTGGATTATCTGTATTTGGGGACCCCCATATTTGTTTGAAATTGTTATTACTTGCTTTCATAGTTGTTGTTTTTGTTACTTTTACTTAAATAAATCAAATTATACGTGTCCCATCGTAATTTTTTCAGTAACTAATTTTAATAGGTTCATAGTTTATATTTATAATTTATAGTTAACTGCAGTTACAGGTCTCTGTTGTAAACACATCGAAAACAATTGTTTACTTGTTGCTTAAATTTTTTTGGACGAACTCATTTAATTCTCATAGTTTCACTTTTGTTTTAGAAAATGAAGGAATTATTTTCAATATTATCCAGTTGATTTTAAGAAACACTTCATTTAAAGTAGCAATTTTTAATTTCAAAACATGCATTCAGTGTCACTGATATATGCAATAGTTTTGCTGTATAATTAATAGAGTAATGATGTTTCACATTTTCTTAAAGAGTGGATACTGATTTGACTTGATTATTTAGAATATTTTATTGAAATAGAATTGTTAAACAATGTATTTTTATAAATTACACTTTTCAGTAATGGGTATATTTCTGTATTGGTACCTGTATTTTCTGCATTAGTGCCAATTATTTTTGCTAATGTGCCAGAGTTTTTTCTTCTAGTGGTTTGCCAGGATAGCTATGAATTATACCCTTCTAGTTGGTCCACTTCTTTGATTTTTTTATTTTATCTTTCTCTCATGCTACTGTAGGGTTGTCATCAAACTTTGGCCGTTTGGTGCACATACCAATTTAAAAATGTTCCTTGTTGATGATTACGAAAGCAATCGTACAAGTAGGAATATAATTTTAGTCATGTGTTTCTCTGTGAAATCAGTTTGTCTTTCTGAGTAATTTTGCTCTACTTTAACCACTAAATAATCATTGCCTACATAATTTTTCTCCCTTATAAATTTTTTAAGCGTAATTTTTGTTTTATTAATTTTTTAACTTTTAAGAACAACAATTTTTAATGTTTAGTTAAATACTTGTATTGTATAATGTTTAGTTAAATACTTGTATTAGTTAAATACTTGTATTGATTAATTTTAAGAACAACAATTTTTAATGTTTAGTTAAATACTTGTATTGATAAAATAGTATATATTATATTTTGTTTTTAATGTTTGAATGTAAAGTCTTGTATATAGAATTCTTTTTTATTATTTATCCTCAACTTTTACATTGCATTAAATGAGATTCTAAATTTTTATCAATTCTACTTTACTGATTAATTGCTTTCAAATTTCAAGATACATTTTTAAAGCAGCTGGTTACCTTACCAGATGATGCCATTGTATTGTAAAATTTCGTTTCAAAATTAATAAAAAGGTTAATTTTAAATGTGAGTTTCAATAAAAATGCTAGTGTTTTTTTCATTAAATTATGAAGTTATTATTTTTATATAGATTTTTAACTATTGTTTTGAGTATTACTAAGTTTTTCATTTGTGTTATTACTTAACTTATAAAAGTTTACTTTATAATAAAATCCTTTTAAAGAAAAGTGAACTACTAATAAATGATGTAGGCATTATACTTTCCTGCAATTTCGTAAGCTCTTTTCTTTTCGACCAGACTTTTACATTGACAATTAATGTAGGCTTATGACTAAGACACTCTGATTAATGTTATAGAATACATTATTTTGCTTTGGTATATATTAGCTTAAGTAATAGAAAAGAAATTAATATTAAAAAATTTTAATGAGTTTTAGGTGCTATGTAGTAATAGAAAACAAATGTCTCTAGGTTTTATTGCACCTAAGTCTTATCAGTGTCATTTATTTAATGTTGCTATTTAGATAAAGGTTCATTCCCTTTTCTATAGCAATTTCATTATTAAGTTTTCTGATATGATAGCAAAAAAGTAATTTTTATTAAGTTAATTTTTTTTTCATTTTATATTTAAAAATCTGCTTAAATAGGATATTATAAACCTGGTAGCCATCAATTTACCTCCTTGCTTTAAATTTCTAATATTTATGTGTGTACTTATTTAGATGGATGATTGTAGTGACTTAGATAGACAAATAGAGCAGTTAAGGAGATGTGAAATTATTAAAGAAAGTGAAGTTAAAGCTTTATGTGCTAAGGCAAGAGAAATACTTGTAGAAGAAAGTAATGTACAGAGGGTTGATTCTCCTGTTACAGTAAGATACATGTTAATTTTTTATTCTTAGTTATATTCTGCTAAAACGTGTTGTACTATTTTCACTATTGAAATTAGTGATTGCTGCTATATTTCCTTTATTTATTTGCATTAATTTATTCTTTTTAAAAGATATTACTGTTTTATCATAAATCAGTTTTATAATTAAAGATTTGAATTATTCAAACTCGGCTTTCTGATTATCAGAACTAGTAAGTATCATATAATTTCTATTTGTTTAAATTTTAGCTTTTCTTATAATACATTTAATTATTTTTACTCTTTTTCCACATTTTCCAGTGTCTTAGTAGAAATGGGTTTCTTTAGAAAAAAATTTCAGCCCTAAAAAAATTTTTATTTGCAGTATTTTTAGAATCTATGTTTAATTTATTGTTTAATTCATTAGGTGTGCGGTGATATTCATGGTCAATTTTATGATTTAAAAGAACTTTTCAAAGTTGGAGGAGATGTTCCCGATACAAATTATCTTTTTATGGGTGACTTTGTGGATCGTGGCTTTTACAGTGTAGAAACATTTCTTTTACTTTTGGCTCTAAAAGTAAGTTCATTTTTTCCCCCTACATTTTATTTGATCATAAACAACAAGATCTATTTGCTATATTTATTTCTCCTTTTAATATAACTGTTTTCAATAAATGCCTAACTATCTTTTAATATCTCAAGGATCTTGTTAAAATCTTTGTGTCTGACTATTCCCTGACCTTTATATTCACTGTTTGTTTTGTTGAGGATGCTGTAATGGATCTAATATTTTGAGTAGAGATTTGTTTTAAAATGTTTGATCAGTCTCTTAGTAATTAAAATGACTGAAAGTTGATTCTCACAGAATTTTCAAAACTGAACTGAGAAATCATTTAATATTTCATTTGTTAGTTGAGTTTGAAATTATGGAACCACTTTATTAATTGTAAGCGTAAAATTTTGATTAAGAAACATTAAACATAAGTACTATTTTTGCACAACATTAACCTTCAGATTGGCTCTTTGTAAGAATGAAAATCAATTAAAGTTCACTAATTTATTAATGTTTTATTTAGATTTTTTCCCCTGCCAACAATATTGTCTTCATTTATTTAATAAGTATTAAACTCTGCTGAAAGTAAGAAAATAATAATAATATACCATGTAAATTTTTTAGTTACCGCTATCACATCACATTAAACAAATTCTAAAAATAATGTCTAATCTTGTGATTTTGGAAGACTGATTCCCTTAGCCGTCTATTTTAAATAATATTGTGATTCACTTTCTGAATTCGTCTATTTTTGTCTTTTTTTTAAATTTTTAGAGGAGATGTTGAACATGTAATCCAATAGCTAAAAGTAGCCTATAAACTTAACTTCTCAACTGATTTAAATTAATAACAAAGCATTAAAAAAAGGTATTTGAAAATCTTTTTCTGTATTTGTTAAAATCTTGTATTTGTAAGAGTAATTTGCTGATCTAGTTTACAGCTTTTCTTAAAGTATCAGTGAGTATTTAAATTTACAAGTTTTTTTTTATTATGGCAATGGGTTCAGTGCTTAAGATTTGTAAAAATATAAATAAAGGTAAATAAAAAAAGTTCTAGAGTTTTAGTTTAAAGTTATACAACATTGTGGCAAAAAATATTTTGATTATTTTTTAAATTGTCTTGATTTTTTCTTTGGCCCACTACGAGGCCTGATATATGTAAGTGAGACATATTAGTTTATATAAGTACTCCTTGCATTTTTACAGTAGCATTGCTTTTTTGATGCTATTTGCTGATTGTTTTAGTTTTAGTGGCTTTTTATACAATAATGGCTATGGATCCTTGATTTTTAATATTGTCTTTGCTAATTTTTGTTTTATTTTTTAGGTTAGGTATCCGGATCGTATCACGCTAATTCGAGGGAATCATGAAAGCCGACAAATCACTCAAGTTTATGGATTCTATGATGAATGCTTAAGAAAATACGGGTCTGTAACAGTATGGAGATATTGCACTGAAATCTTCGACTATTTAAGTTTGTCTGCTGTAATTGATGGAAAAGTAAGTTCCTGTTTTTAAATTTTTTAATCTTAAAAAATTTTTTACTAATAAGGATTGAATTTTATATCCTTAAGTAGTTGCTTAATGCAGCAGTCCCTGAAAGGTGTACTGCTGAACCTTAGGGTTCTATGAAAAGTTAGAAGTTTCAAAATCTAATCAATAATCCATTATTTACTTAATATTTTGGTCATTTAAAGAAATCATTCAAATAAAATTATGGTGAAAACATATAGTTAAGTTTTTTTAAAAAAATATATTTATGTTTATTCTAATTATAAAAGTTAAAATAAATTACAAATACAATATTAATTTTTAAAGAATTACATTAATATTTTCCATTAAACTTTACGATTCAAAGTAAAATAACTAAATTCAACTGCAAAGGAATATGTTTTCCCGATAATCTTTCTCAACCTTCTTAACAATCCTTTATTTTGTTCATTTCAATGAAACCTAATTTATCTTGTTTTCATTTTATTCATTTTCAACTTATGCATACAAAAATTACCTCCAATCTAGATTTGCTACCGCTCCAGGCTTACAAATTCAACAGTCTTACATAAAATTTAATTTTTAAACCTATTATTGATAAAATGGATTAATTTCATTCTTCTCTTTAATAGTTTCAAAATAGTAATTAGCTTTTCTGTAACTGATTTGTAAGCTGTCTGCACCTGATGTTTGGTGAGTTGATTTTATTGCCAGTTACTTTTGGCACATTTTTCTTGGCACCACTTTAGTCTCATGCCGAGAATGGATTCAAGTTTTTCAGTCCTATAAATTCAATGTTCTATTATATTACAGTCATTTTTCAACAACATAAAACATGTATTTCCTAAATAAAAAAGTGGCAATTCTATATCAAATGTTAATCCCAGGCAACAGTTTAGTTACCAGTTTGCTGAAAATTAAACATAATCTGCTGTAATTAAAAGTTTGTCAAGTTTTATGTGGGTGTTTTACTGTGGGACTACACATGTGTCTTGTGTGATTGTATATACGATGGTTGCTGAATTTACATAGTGATAAGAATTTTTTTAAAAAAAAGGCGTATTCCTTCACTGACGTTTGACAAGTATCACTTTGTGTTGTCCATTGTTTCAAGAACTATCATGCAAAGACTAATATTTAACTTTTTCCATTTGTCCGAAATAACTCTGGATAGTAAACTGATTTTAAATTAAATGTTTCTTCCACATAAAAACGATTCAAATTTAAACTTAAAACTTGTGCATTATGTTCTGTTTTATTTCCTAGTATTTATTAATAAAATAAAGAAATATGTTGATTTTTTTGTGTTTTTTTCCTTCAAAATAATCGGTAAGGAAAGTGGTTAATAGTGTTAGCAAGAAAAGAAATATTTGAAAAACTTGTTCAGGGGGATAACAAACCAGTTCCGTCCTTTGGTTAACACTTTCACGGTTGCTAATAGATTTTATAAAGAAATTTAGGATTATGTCTAGGAAAGGGTTACAATTTAGGGTTCCAAAGCTGAAAAAAATAATAAATAAAAGCTGTTGGTCGAATAAATATAAATTTAGCTAATACTATCTGTGGTTCCTCCTAAAAGAACAAGTTCCTTGCAATTTTTCTGTTTCTGAAATTATCTACTTTTCTATATGTTTGTCACATTTTTATTTGTTTGTAATATTTATTTAATATTATTTATTATTGTATTCAATTGTGTACAGCTGTATATCATAATCAAATTTAAGGATCTGTCCAGACCGAATTTACTACCGTTTAGCGGTACCTTCACAAATTCAACTTTAGGAAAAACGGTAGTTTCTCAAAATACTTTTTCTTAAAATTTCATTTTTGTATTCCTTAAGAAATGATAAATCCATATTCTTGCCATATTTTAGTGTTCGATTTTTAAATATAATTTTTAATTTTTCACAAATTATGTCTAAATTTTCACAAAATAGGTACCTCTTAGAAAAGCCTAGACAGACCCCTGAGATTGAATATTTGATAGTAATTTCACTTTTTTTCTTTTAGATCTTTTGTGTACATGGAGGTTTATCTCCTTCTATTCAAACCTTAGATCAAATCCGAACTATTGACAGAAAACAAGAAGTTCCTCATGATGGCCCTATGTGTGACTTGTTATGGTCTGATCCAGAAGGTGATTTTTACTTGTAATATGTCACAAAAATAACTACAGTCAAACCGCGCTATAGTGAACCTTCAAGGGACTGAAATTTCGGTTCACTATAACCGGGAGTTCCCTAAATCCGTTACGCAGACAATTTAACTAATGGTTCCCAAACTCCTTCCTTTTATTACACATTATTCAAATAAATGACTGGAAAGCATTATATAGTAGCAAAAAATGTGTTATTTTTCATTACTCTTCGCCTTGAGTACAAAAAAAAAAAAAAATGAGTAATCTTTAGCTGATGAGCAATCCTCAACATCAGATATGGAAACACTCCCGACTCTCAGATAATTTTTCCTGAATTTCTGTTATTCCACTTTTTAAACCTGCCTAACCTGCCATTTGAACACATAAAAAGTAGTTTCATAAAATCGCGCAGCAAATTCATCGACATTTGTCCAGATAATGGAAAATTGCGGCTTCTTAGATTGGTGAACCACTTCAGTAATGCATCTTCAACATCCTTGTGATCTGCTTTTCTCAATTTTTTTCAGCCATCTAAATTTTTTTATGAGCAGAAATTATTAATTGCCTATTTTTCCATTTGTTACAAACTGCAAATTTGGGTAGTTCATATTCCCTGAAAATATCAACTTGACTGCATCAATTTTCAATTTTTCTGATTATGCCCATTTTATCATCAATGGAGAACGTTTTGCGTTTACTGCTCGCCATAGTTAAATTTGAAGCACTTGTTTACAGGATTTTTTTAACTGAACTGTTAGCAGAAAGGAGTTGAAATGAGGGCCCTATCAACATATATTAGTGTTCAAGCCTTTGACCAATAATTAATAATTACTCATTACTTTTGACAGACAATGCATATTGATCCCACTGACACCTTACAGGTGGATCATCTGCCTGAGTTGGAAACATCCGCTTGGCTTGTTTAGGGATGGGAAAGAGAGATAAAAGAAGCAAACAAGAAAAAATGCTTATCGCTACATTCCCCTCTATAGATGGTTCTGAAAATCGGTATATGTATTGATTTTGAAGTAGAAATTTCAAAATTATTACAAAAAAAAAAGTGGGGAAAAAAATCTGTCGAAGACAGAGAAAAGTTCATTATATCCAGCTTCCTCACTTTTTTTTCTCCACTATATCCACAAAAAATAACATACGTGTATAGCAAGGCATGGGACCGAACATTTCGTTCACTATATCCGGCAGTTTACTATAAGCCGTGTTCACTATAGCGGGGTTTGACTGTATTTTGAATTGCTACAGTTTGGTAATGTTATTATTTATTATCAGACTTAATAGAAACTATCTTCTGTGATTAATGTTTTTTTACAGGATTTTGTGTTTTTAATCATGCGTAAATTGGCCTATCTTCAAAAAATCAGTATAGAAAATTCAGCTTTGATTTTTCTTTCAATAAAGGTAGTGCAAAAAGTTTCTTTCTATAAAGGTGGTGCTGAAAGTTTCTATTAAATAAAGGTAGTGCTAAAAATTTCTCTCAATTTAAAGAAGTGCAAAAAGTTTTTTTTCTCATTAAAGGTTGTGCGAAANACATCCATTTTCAATTTTTCTGACTATGCCCATTTTATCATCAATGGAGAACATTTTGCGTTTACTGCTCGCCATAGTTAAATTTGAAGCACTTGTTTACAGGATTTTTTTAACTGAACTGTTAGCAGAAGGGAGTTGATTGAGGGCCCTATCAACACATATTAGTGTTCAACCCTTTGACCAATAATTAATAATTACTCATTCTCTTTGACAGAAAATGCATATTGATCCCACTGACACCTTACAGGTGGATCATCTGCCTGAGTTGGAAACATCCGCTTGGTTTGTTTAGGGATGGGAAAGAGAGATAAAAGTAGCAAACAAGAAAAAATGCTTATCGCTACATTCCCCTCTATAGATGGTTCTGAAAATCGGTATATGTATTGATTTTGAAGTAGAAATTTCCAAAATTATTACAAAAAAAAAATGGGGAAAAAATCAGTCGAAGACAGAGAAAAGTTCATTATATCCACAAAAAATAACATTATACGTGTATAGCAAGGCATGGGACCGAACATTTCGTTCACTATATTCGGCAGTTCACTATAAGCCGTGTTCACTATCGCGGAGTTTGACTGTATTTTGAATTGCTACAGTTTGGTAATGTTATTATTTTTAGACTTAATAGAAACTATCTTCCATGATTAATGTTTTTATACAGGATTTTGTGTTTTTAATCATGCGTAAATTGGCCTATCTTCAAAAAATCAGTATAGAAAATTCAGCTTTGATTTTTCTTTCAATAAAGGTAGTGCAAAAAGTTTCTTTCTATAAAGGTGGTGCTGAAAGTTTCTATTAAATAAAGGTAGTGCTAAAAATTTCTCTCAATTTAAGGAAGTGCAAAAAGTTTTTTTTCTCATTAAAGGTTGTGCGAAAGGTTTCTCAAAGGTTCAAAAATAGTGCCCCCGCTCTCTTTTAAGAGTGATAAATTTTTCTTACAACTACAGTAGGGAACCATTTATCCGGTATCCAGATGACTGGGAAGAATTTTGCTTGGTTTTCCCGCTATTTTAAAGTACTATAACGATTATATATATATAAAAAAAAACAACCAAATTTGACTCATCCTTAAAGTTGAGTAGAGGGAAAGAGAGAAATTCTTCTCCTCACTTGCCCAGAGGAACTTCAGTTCTTCCCCTGACCTTGAAGATCATTAGATCCAGAGGGGGCAGGGAAGGGACAAATGTTTTATTTTCTCCTGTGTTTATTTTCTTTTTCTGATAAGCTGCCATCAATCAAACTTAAAGGAGTTTCAAGCTGATTTCGTTTTCTCTTTGATTTACAAGGGGGTGCGGAAAATGCAGTGCACAGGCATAGCAATGAATGTTTGAGTTAAGGAACTTGAAACATCTGGCTAAGAGTATTGATTTTAAAGGTGAAATGTGAGATTTATTTTAAATCATCCACTTCAGTTACTCAGTTTTGTTATTTATTATAGTGAATTGTTTTATTATTTCGGATAATGCATTAATTAATCACCAGTTCATCTATTTGACATCAATTAGCAAAACAATATTTTTTTGTTGAATAAATTCTGATTTCTTAGAAATGCGATATCATTAGCAAGTTTTTCTTGATGTGCAATCACATCTGCTTTCCTTAAAAATAATCTTTTAATAAAAAATAAAATAAAAGGAGAAGATTGTTTATTAATTTAAGCATATAATTATTTGTTAATAATAGCAGGTGATTATTTTATAAAGAAGATAGTAGTTTTTTTTTTTTTTTTTTAAATTTTGATTCTGTTTGTATCAGAGCTAAAGAGGAAAAAAAAATTGTTCTTAGTTCTGAAATACAATTTTAACATTGAGAATCACAGTTTTCTTTGTTAATGCTTATGTCTTATCGTACAGGAAAAAAGTTACAACAAAAGAATAAAGTCTATTAGAAATGTTTCATTAAAATGCTGCACTGTAGATACAGAAAATGAGCAAAAATGAAACAAGTAAAAAAAAAAAAAGTACTCAATTTTTAAAACGTAAAGTGTTAAATAAGTGACGAAATTGACTTGCCTGAATATAGTTGTAAAAGAAAAAAATCAGTATTACATAACTCATGGTTCAGTATAAAGTAATCTAGTTTCATTCTTTAAATTTAGCTTTTCTATTTGTCCTTCATAGGATAAATTAAAAAGTTTTGTAACTTAATAAATATGTGTAAAAACAATTCCTAATAATACGATTTTAGATTATTCTTTGTTTAGTCTATTCAGATTCCCCTTCTCCCCCCCCCCAAAGAAATTTTGTTGAAAAATACTTTTCCAAATAATACTCTGCCGCATATCTGGCCAATTAATCGACCAACCGAATATTCAGGAAAAGGGCCGAATATTTACGTTCGAGAGAAGAAGTTCAATATTTTCCTTGTTGTAATTGCCTACTTTTGCCCTATTGTCTATGCTAAGAGTTTCACCCTAACACTAAAATTTAAATAAAATGCAAATTCCTTTAAAACTCATTTTACTTCAAAAATGAATTATTAATTTCAATTAATGACAATACTCACTGTAATGACTTATTAGTGCTAACAGAGGTAAAAAGTGCAAAGCAAACTTCACGGTTGTGAAAACTTTGAAAGGGTACTAAAAATTGTGCTATTGGCACCATCTTGTACAACTTTTGTGTATAAGTGTTGCTAAATAAGTTGTTGGACACACTGCAATAATATAGACACGCACAGCGTTGGACACACAGCAAATATTCCTGGTAGCGGTGTTATTTCATCTATTAAGGCATCAATTTCTTTCCCTTCTTCATAAAACTACTTGCATGAAAACTCTTTTATTTTTATATTTTACTTATCTTTTGAATTTTAAGAAATTCAAATTCTCCTATTTTAAACTTAGAAAAAAAAAAGTAATTTATATATTTTTTAATGTTTCTAGATACTCAAGGCTGGGGAGTTAGTCCAAGAGGTGCTGGTTACTTGTTTGGAAGTGATGTTGTGGCCCAGTTCAATACTGCTAATGATATTGATATGATTTGTAGAGCACATCAATTGGTCATGGAAGGCTACAAATGGCATTTCAACGAAACTGTTCTAACAGTGTGGTCGGCCCCTAATTATTGTTACAGGTGCAGTTTTATTCATTATTTTTTCAGAAAAAGTGTTTTATTAATTTCTTAAAATTTCTTAAACTTTCTGTGGTTTAAATGTAGAATAATTTGTTTTCTAGTACAGTGGTGATTGTATTTCAGGTGTGCCTCGGAATTTCGGGTTTTTAATATCATTCTCCAAGGTCTAAATACTAGAAGCAGTGTATGTGATTTTTCCGAGAATATTTTTCAGAATTCCGCATATTGCGGACTCCTTCAAATCAAAAACTTATAAGCCAATAAAATTCTGAAACTTTTACTGAATCCTGTTAACGAGGCATTTACCTACACGGGATTCTTCCGCCAATTTAATTCTTTTGGTTTGATGGATTTTTACCATTTGAATATTTGGAACTGTGCTACTAATATTGCGAATCGTGATTATTTTAAGAAGTACGTTTTTTCTTGAATTAGTTACTATAAAGGTGTGATATTCTTTGTTAGTAAGTAATTTTATTAAAAATGTTAGTTCAAAAAATAATGTTGATTACAAAATGTTTGGCATATAAATTGATATCTGGATATCGATTTTTTGAACATAAAATTTTCAAGTATTTTCACTTTTTGTCACAATCACCCCTGTCCTAGCACTAAAATCTTAGTATTCTCAATGCTAATACTGAAGTGGACTTCTTTTCTGTACTATTTCTTATTTATAATATGTATTTATAGTTTTTCTTTGCCACTTCAATTACAAAATATTTATTTCAATTTCTGTTTCTTATGTGAATATTTATTTCTATTTCTGCTATGGTATGTGGCAGGGTAATACATTAGTGAAGTAATGTAAAAGACCACCAACAAGCAGCTTGAAACCTGAAACAAATGCCAAAATGTTCAGTCAAAAACATTTTGTTGAAAACTTAAGGGCAAAAACAAATTATAAATTTTATCATTTCTGCCAAACTGCTGTTTAAAAAAACATAGACAAGCAGTTTGAAATATGAAACAAATGACAAAATGTTAAAGTACCAAAGTACATTTTTTAGTACCAAAAACAAATTATAAATTGTACCATTTCTTATCTGTGAATAATATTCAAATTTTAATCACGATACTTCCTTACTAAATTTGTTTAAAAATTATATTTTATTATTTTTAAAATATTTTGCTTAATCGAATTATTTAACACATAAAAAGTGTAATTTTATTAAATAAATGAAGCTGAAAGAGTAATTGTTTATAATGGTCAATTGGATTCCCCCTCTCACAATCAACTACTAGAAGTTCTCTCATTTTTGTTGTGCAAAATTTTAAAAATTGTGTACCGTTTTAGGTGCTGTCTTTATCGTCAGACTTGGGTCTAAATCTAATAATCATTAGTTTGTTGAAGCCTTATATGTTTTGTTGGTTTGCCTGGAAGTTTATTTTTACTAAATGGATAATTTACTCTTTCAAATCTAAGAATAGTTCTGCTTATTAATTTTTTTTTTACTGTACTCATTTGTAGGTGTGGGAATGTTGCAGCTATTTTGGAATTGGATGAACACTTGCAGAGAGAGTTCACAATATTTGAAGCTGCTCCTCAAGTAATTACTTTTTTATAAATTTAAGTGTTTGAAAACATTTTTATACTGTTGTTTCTTTATCAAAAGCATATACAGGGTGCATAGCGTTTTTAAAAAGTACTTAATTTTCCTCTTTTCAAAATGAGATTTTTCCTTTACTATGTTGATTTTCGCTTCGAATTACGCAAAAGCGTGGTTTTCACATTATTCTAATCAACTTTTTCACAATTAAGTCACCCCGTTTTCACAATTAATTAATTCACGTTTTCACAATTAATTCGTGCTTAAAAATATTTTTTGAGTGCTTAAAAAGTGCTTATTTTTTTTGAATAATTTGGCTATACACCCTGATATATTCTGAGCAATAACGTATTTTTTGTGTGGTTTTTGCCTGTCTGATTGATAACTTTAAACTAAAATCTTATGTCAGCAAAATTGTGTTTATTTACTATATTTTATAATTAATTTGAAATATTTTTATATTTCTTGTTTGTGTGCTGAAGGAAACAGAACAATATCTACAATAACTACACATTTTATGAAAAAATTAAAATAACTTGTGCACAGTTTACCCAGAAAGTTGCACTATAAAATACTTAATGTCATGTAATATTTTAGCCCATGAGAATTGTGAATGAGTCATTCTTAGGTATTTGTGTTCCAATTGCAATGAAATGAAGCAGTTTTATAATAAGTATAGTTTGTCTAAGCTAAGAACTCCTCCCGCCACAAAGTCTGAGGCCGTCTGGTGCTATGAAAACAAGAATGGGACATTTAAGAGAGGGTAGCTTCTCTCTTGGACTAACACAATAGACCAAAGAAAGAGATTCCCTTCTCTCGCCGACCCGAGCCGAAACCACTCTAAAACAGTGACCCCACACCCCTACTTGAAATAGTCATGCCTCGTTACCATAGTCACTGCCACAGGTCAAGACGAATGTCTGGGCAGGGTGCGTAGCATTTGTAAAAAGTACTTAAAGGTGCTTTTTTGGGTATTTTGTTTTTAAAAGCTTTTAAAGGTGCTTTTTTCAGCTGGCGTTTTTAAAAAGTGCTTTTTTTCCGAATAATTTTTTTTTCTCCCTTCAGTGATATCTGGTGGATCCCATGCATTTCACGAAAAATGGGGAGTTTGCTACGTTATCATTTACGCGGACTTCATGTCGTACCCACGTTATGACTTGCGCATGCGCGCACACTTGAAACCGAAACCCGAGTGCTCCAATTCGGATAGAGAATATCAGATCCTTATGAAATGTTTTTCCTTTTAATTTATTTTAATTTTGTTCTTGTTTATTTTATTTTACTTCTAACACTTTTTTTGACGTAGGGGGTAAGGGTACTTTTGTTCTGAGTTCAGGGTCAAGTTGAATTCACTCGGTGATGTGGGAAAGTACTGATTGTTTCGATTTACGCCCGTTTCTTTTTGTTTTTTTTAAACGCTAAAACTGTTTATAGAAAGTTTTTTGTTTTTCAATAATATCATTGATTGAATATGAATTTTTTGAGTGCTTGAAAACTTTTGTAAAGTCCTTGAAAAGTTTTTAAAAAGTGCTTATTTTTGATTCAAAGATTTGGCTACGCACCCTGTCTGGGGAGTACTTATTTTAGACAAACTTTATAGGGTAAACTAACCAGTGAAGGTCCAGAGAAGTCTATTTGACCAGGTAATCCAAAACATTGCTAGATCACTTCCTATTATTTGGCAGTAAGCTATTGTTACCAATCAATCTAAAGAAAATCTTTCAAATTCTTCTTTTTAATCAATATATATGAAATGTTCCTTCACTGGGTAGTGTTCCTTCACTGGTTGGTTTACCCTACTCTGTGTATTTGTTTGTTTCCTGCAAATAAGTATTCCATTGTATTCTTTGATTTTTTTTTAACTACTGTTTCTTAACAACTTATTTTATATTCTAATCCTGAGGAATTTTATGAGTATCATTTATAAGTACTGTTTTAAGTATTTAAATTGTGATTAAATATAATCAGGGTTTTTCCCTTGGGGGACTATTTCGTCTAAATGAAAAGCAAAGCTGCTAATTTTAAGTTTTGTTGTTCATAGATTAAAAGAGCTTATTATATATATAAATAATGTAAAAAAGCAAATTCAAGTTTTAAACTGAATAGGAAATGAAATTTTTGAAATTAGAAGTATTTTTTGTAAAAATGCACATTAAATTTTTCCATTTTAACGTGGTCTCCGATTTTTTTATATTTTATATCCCTTTAATTATTCGTACATAACTTGTCTTTTTAATACATATAGTTTTCAGAATAGCTTAACTTTTTCTTCATTAGATAAAGGAATATTCTTACAAATTAAATTTGTCCATTAACAAGAATGAGGTTTCTTTATGTGAATGCAATGACTTCATTATTTGGTTTCTCATAAAATACTTCATTATGAATGTTTTTCAGTATAGCAAACCAGTTTTGTAATGCTATTAGATAGGTATAGCTGCCAACTCTACTGGATTTTTCAGTAGACTACTGAATTTTGCCAGTATCTCCTAGTTTACTAGTTTCATAAAAATTCCCTTTGTTTTTGTACCTTTCAGGAAAAAATTGAGTAAGTTTCCTAAAAATTCCCTATTGAAATAGATTATTGCTTGCTTGAATAATTAAACTAATATAACTAATACATGATGAGGCGAGTCTTTTTTATAGAAATCAATATAAAACTTTTTTTGTTCTAAAATTTTCATCTTATTTTTATTCAGAATATAAGTCTGCAAAAGAAAAGAAGAAAAAATTATTTGCTTTTGTATTTTTTTCAGCTATTTTATTTCTTTAACTCTTTCATTACTTTGTTTTTTAAATTTAAAACCTATAATTATGAAGATGTAGAGCATAACGTCCTTATACCTATCATTTCAATTAATATTATAATGCTTTTTTAAATGTATCGTTTTTTTTCCGTAGAAAATAGTAACATCGTTAAGACATAAAAAATTATTGGAATTGATCATGAATTTGAAAATTTAAAATTTAGCAGATGCCCTGTATATGGTAGAGAAAGAAACATACTGTTCACAAGTTTGCTTATTAACAAAAATGGTGGAGGGCTATTAAGTAGATATGACAGATTCTTATTTTGGTATACTAAGTAACATTTAAGAATTTGGATCTTTTTTGGAAAAAATGCTCTTTTTATTTTTAATTATACATGATTTTTGTTTGCAGGAGACCAGAGGAATTCCTACTAAGAAGCCTCAACCAGATTACTTTTTATAAAAGGTGAATCTTCTGTCATTGGTCCATTTTTTTTAGTTAACTGGTAATCATAGTTGCTTGCATGATCCAATCTCATGTACAGCCTCACTTGTGTTAATAGAAGAAGGAAAAAAAAAAAAAATAGGAACATGTTTTGAGACTGTGCCACTTGAACTATGAAAATTACTCAAAAAGGAAAAGATGTACAGCTGCCATGCGTGTTTCTCTTGGAAATATATTTTATCTTGAGTATTAAATTGTAATTTTTTTAAAAAAAGAATTGTCTTGTAAATATGTCTGTTAGTATTTCATTTTATTCTTACTCTTGTACAATCTTTTACATGTCAATGAAATTTGAAATAAAATCTCAGTATGATTAATATCATTTTTGCAACAGCTACTTTTATTTGGAACTCTTTCCTCCTAATTTATGTTTACTTTGTGTCAAAAGCTCCAGTCTTGCCAGGGGGGATCCAGAAATTTTTCCTGGGAAGGGTCATAGACTCAGTTTCCCCCCCCCCCCCACAATTAATTTTTTATATAAAATTTTATTTTTTTAAATAGTATTTTTGAAAAAAAAATAAGCGGGTTTTTCTTAAAATTCTCAACAACATATTGATTGATGGGTACAAATCGATGTAACAACAGGCATTAATAATCTAGGAAAGATCGTTGGGCACTTCAAGTCCTACTTCTTATTTAATTTTTTTCATAATGAACAATAGAACAATACATAAATAATTCAAGTATTNCAGATCTCCCCCCCCCCCCACAATAAATTTTTTATATAAAATTTTATTTTTTTAAATAGTATTTTTGAAAAAAAAAGCGGGTTTTTAATGCGGGTTTTTCTTTAAATTCTCAACAACATATTAATTGATGGGTACAAATCGATGTAACAACAGGCATTAATAATCTAGGAAAGATCGTTGGGCACTTCAAGTCCTGCTTTTATTTAATTTTTTTCATAGTGAACAATAGATGTTCGATGAATGTTTAATAATGCGAGTCCGTTTAATTGTTCTTGATTTTGAGTTGCTCTGAGCCAAGTTTTGAGGCGTCGACGAGTTGAAAAGGAAAGTTCTTAAAATTCTCAACAACATATTGATTGATGGGTACAAATCGATGTAGCAACAGGCATTAATAATCTAGGAAAGATCGTTGGGGACTTCAAGTCCTGCTTCTGTTTCACGCTGCCATTTTGCCACCCAACTTTTACGGAAGCATTTGAGAAATTCTTGTAAAACTTGGCAGTTTCACGAACGGCTAAAAGATCTTCTTCTGTAACAGTTTCACAAGGTAAAAAAACTCGTAAATTAAAAAGTTTCAGTAGATCTGGGGAAAGTGTCCTTTAAATCTGCTAAAATATTATCTAATAAAGGAATATAAGTAGTCTTCTGGGGTCAGGTTTGGCTGATTATTATTTCTTTCTGTTGGGCGAGAAACTAAACGTTTTGGTCGCAGCTCTACATTTAATTGTTCAGCAACATCTTGAGCTTCAGAAAACAGTTGTTGAAAAACAGTATCCACCTTTTTGTAAACTATTAAAAAGTTATTATTTATGTATTTTTTTTTTCAATTTGGGGGGGGGTCGTGACCCCTGGATCCGCCACTGAGTCTTACTTAATCTGAATGAAATTTCAAATGTTTGTTATGTATGCAACTTAAATTTTATTTAGTTCGTCAAAAGTAGTTCAAAATTTTCCTTCTGCAGCAAAGTAAAACTAGGAAAACTCTCAAAAATAAAAGAATATCAAATTATTTGTACACCTGTGTTTTCTATGCATATACTTTGCTAGTCAAGGATAAGTTGAAAGTTTATAAACGTTTTAAAGATATGATACCAAAGAAGAAAAAAATGGTCCACCCTGAACAACTTTTGATCTAAGGATCGGATATTCACGTTCTAGGATTCTATTTTAAAGTCTCTAGTGGGTGACCTCAAATATGCTAATTAATATGTGCAGACTATATTTTAAGTTACGGAATCAGACACAAGAACATACCTTTTTTTTTAAAATCAGATTCAGATTTCTGACCCCCAAAATATGTTCCCAAGTTTGGACTTCTTAATGTTCATTTTACTTTTTGCATATTTCGCTATATTTCAAGAGCTTTTTATGCAAATTGAAAAATTTTTACACTTTATTATAAATTTTGTTTACAAAAATAACTTTTAGTAAATATTTATTTTATTTAAGAATATTTGGAACAATTTTGAATTGTAAGGTATACAATTTTTTGCATCATTTTAAAGTATCTAATATTACATGGTAAAATACGAAATTGGTGGAATTGTTTCTGCGAAATTCAATTTTAAATATGACTTTTTTTAAATTTGATTTTTAGGAACTATTCATCCAATTTCGCTCAAATTTTGTATTTTGCCATGTAAAATTTAAAATGACATAAAAAATTTTATACCTTATAATTAAAATTTTTTCGACTTTTTGCGGAAATAATAAGTATTTATAAAAAAATTTTTTGGATAGAAAATTTTTTATTACTGTGAGCAAAAAGTTTTCAATTCACTAAAAAATTTCTTGATATGGCGAAATATGCAAAAAGTAAAATTAACATTACTGGGTCAAAACTTAGGACTGCTCTCCTGATCAAGCTATTAGGACCGTATTTCTTAGGTTTCGGTTACTTCCTTTAATTAGGGGATCAGAAACCGAATCCGGCGAAAAAAAGTGAAGAAAAAAAAAGCTATTTTAAAAATACAAATTTAACTTAACCACACTAAGCAACAATCACCAGCCGTTATTTATTGACAGATTTTTAATTTCACAGAGAACATTACCAGGATTTTTATCGAATTTTTTCTGTCAGCTTGAAGACATAATCATCTGCAGTAAAGACTGGTTACGCTAGAAGATATCACTGAGAAACTCAACCCGGAATGTTCAGTTTTTACACGTGAAGCTCACGCAATTTTGTTGGTTTTGGAGTATATACTCTTTCAAATACGTGAAAAAGGGTAAATCGATACAGACTCTGAAAGTTGTATTGCATCACTAATCCCATTTTATCATAAATTATATTATCCATACATATGAAATTACGCAAGTTCGGTTATACAGTTTTGTTGTATTGGATTCCCGATCACTCTGGTATTCCGGATAACAAAAGTGCGGACAAATTTGCTAAAATCTCTCAAAACCTTGCTAATAAACCATTAACTTATTCTGATACTGGAAACACAGCCAATCTTACTTTACTATTAAGATGGCAAAAAAAACCTGCAATGATGAAACTAATTACACTTCCTTAAACCAAAAATCGAACCATTTTCGCGAGCATCTCAGCTGAGGAAATATGAAGTTACATTAAACCGTTTACGCATTGTTCATACGCGTATTACGCATAGACAACTTTTACTAGGCAAACTTTCACCAGACTGCTTTTGCTGTAATGAGTTTTTAAAACTTCTAACCCAGTGCAACAGATTTAAATATAAATGACAACGTTATTTTGGCTGGCAGTACCCCACGCATTCGCGATAAATCTTTTGGTGTTCGAACACCGAAATTGGAATTACTTAAAACATAATTAAAGTTGTATAAGGTTGCGTGCTTTAATTATTGGAACAATAAAAAGAAAACTTAATTTAAACCATTATTTTTAATAACAGTAATATAAAAAGATAATAATAAAAAATACAACTGACAACTCGAAATTAGCAATTCTAGAGTTCGAATATGAATCAACAGAATGTGTGAAAAAATAGAATGAGAAAATAAAATAATGTTTTGCTTAGAACTAGTGGTCCCGCAGTGGACTGATCGTTAAGACACGGTTCCCAGCAGATCACTGAAGTCAAGCATCACTGGCTGCGGTCAGTGTGCGGATGGGTGACCACTTGGATCAGTCTGCGTAGGGACCGAGGGTGTGCGCTATTGGTCCTCGTTAAACTGTGCTACCGTAAAGCGCTCGACTTCGCGCGCAGGTCGTCGTGCTACCGAAAGCGGGGGTGCCATCCCCTCCGCAGAGGATCAAAATTTTGATGGTAAGTCTTCGGATCATCCTCCGGGATGTTTCCCAGACCGTCGCCAATAGCCCATTGCGCAGCTCTAGTACGACGTAAATTAACAACAACAACTTAACTAGTGACGCCATCTGTTGGCACTCATTGAAGTTACGTTCCACCACAGTATTCCCCCCAAGTTACGGTCCACCACAAATCTTATGTTAATCTTTTCTTTTACTGTTGGATTTTATAATTTCGTTTATTGTAGATGTAAAAATTTGTAAAATAAACGTAAGAACTTGATTGTAAAATCTAGAAAACTGTAATTTGTACTAAGTTAATGGTGAGGTATTTCCATTTTTGGTTCTTGTGCCAAAATTACAAATTGATTAAAAAAAATATTTTGTTTTTATATTTAATATGCTAGTCATTTCTTTGTCACGAATGTTCCTTGAAATTGGATTTTATATTTTTTCAAGAAAGAAATTTTTTTAAGTTTAAATCAATTAATGATAACGTATTTGATTTTTTTTTCCTTCGTAATTTTATATGAAGCAGATAAAGATTAAAAATAGTTTTATTCAAGCTTTTTTTTTTGGTACACGTTATAAAAATTATGCTTCTAAGTTCGTCATGCATTTACAATCACTGCGTTTGTAATTTTTTATTTTTTTTTATTTTCGCTGTTCAAATACAATATGTTGCTTCTTTGGCTGGAGACCGATTCCTAAATCTCCTTCAAAATTTGCTTTTTTACCAGGTGGTAAGGATACTTTGAATTTTTGCAAAATAGCAGCAACATAGAGAAAGACTTCAACTTCTGCGAGAGACTTTCCAGGACACTGTCTCTTACCTTGAATGGAAGAACATCAAAGTAATAAGAACTCTCAGAAACCAAGGCATGCAATTTTAGTTTTAAAGATAGAATTCAGACAAAATTTTTTCTTGCCACTATTTAATATTCATGAATAATAAGAACAATTCTTAAAATGTAGACGGATGTAATATGAAGAGCATTTTGATAACTCTAACTGTAAAAGAATATTGAAACTTTAAAATCGAAGCATATTTATTGCAATAATCTAAATAAATCTAAATAAGGTTGTCTTAAGGTTTCAATGTTTCCAGAAGAAATGGTTTTGAAGGTGAAAGGTGGCATTTTTTTTTTTTTTTTTGGTTCTAAATAGAAGAAAAAAAAGTTGATATCCAAACACTTTCACTCGTTGTATTACTGAGCCACGATAGCCTAAATGTATACAGTTTAATTCAAAGCTCAACATTAAAAAAAAAGGAACTTTTTCGCCAGCCTTAAATATTTGTTCTCAAACGGTGGATGGAAATTTCATGCCCTGGTTTAAATAAAATAAAAATCTGCATAATGAGATTTTTTTTAATAAAAATTTAAATTAAGATACCTATTGAAAAAGGAATGAAATATTCTGGTTTCACAACTTTCTTCCCATCTTCAGTCAAGAATCTCTCTGGTTTATATTCATCAGTATCATTTCCCCACAAAGATTTGTCATGAGCTACAGCATACAATATGGCTAATACATATGTGTGCTTAGGGATGAAGTATCCGTTAAGTTCAGTATCCTCAAGCGTGCTGTAATTAAAATGTGAAATTAATAACAAAATGCATATAATGTTAGGCCACACTTTTTTTTTAAATATTTTAATTTTTATTTTTACATGAAATTATTCCTTATTATTGTTACCAGATATGCATGTTAAAATTTTTCGAATTTGAACTAACACCGGAATATACCAAAATATCATAATATCTGCATAGAAATCGTAACAGTTCCGAAATCACTCTCATTAACGATTTTGGAAAAGTGGCTATTGCACAAACCCTCCATTTTTATTAATTTATTTTCTTTTGTTAAATCTGTTCCTTTTAGTATCTATATTACTGAAGTGGTATTTTATATAGTGCCTAACTATTTAATTGGCTTTATCTTGAAATATAATTTTATCTGCGTTGCGTCAAAATAGCATCCGACTACTTAAAAAGCTGGCTTTTTTTTTAAAAAAAAAAGAGAAATTAGTTTCTTGAAAATCTTATTCTTAGTTGTGATATGAGAAAACTACAAAGTTGAAAGCTGTTTAAAGTAAAAAGCTTCAGGGATATTGAATACATATGAAATACTATGATCTCAGAGAATGTTATTTTATACAATGTAGAAAAAGAAATGTAAGAATTATCTGAGTTATTTCTGAGAAAAGCAGCCGCGTAAGAAATAATAATAAAATCTGGTTTTAAAATAAAATTTTTGGTGGTGCTTCTAGCATCCGATTTATTTATGCAAAATATTAACATTAACAAATATCTTGTATTATACTGTTTGTTTCAAATCAATTTTCCAACTAGTGTGGATGACTTTTGAATAATTCTACTATAAAAAGAGATGTAAGCTGCCCTGTTAAGGTTGGGTATAGAAAGAATGAAAAAGTTGCAAAAAAAATAACAATTTAGAAAAGGAGAAAAAAAAAAACTAAAAAATAATGGCCGGGTGAAACATAGTTAGTTGTACATTTTACGAAGTTTGNCACATAAGCAATGACAGGCAACTTACTATCGCCATATGTTTAAAGGGATGATACTTTTCCATCGCATTAATTCGAGAATAGTGGCTTCAGTGTAAGGCATGTCAAATCGATCTTGCCAGGTTGGAAATCGGTCTGATCCCAGAAATTCATCGATTTCAGCCTGAACTTTTCTCTGAACATCGGGAAAGGCAGCGTATACCAAGAGCATCCATTCGACGCTTATTCTCACTGTTTCGCTACCAGCACCGAAATAACCTCTTGATACATCTTCAAGTGTGTCCTCTTTATGAAATAGGAAAACAGTCATTAAGCGCTTTTTTTCTCCAATTTCTTATACCGAAATTAAACCTATTGTAACATTCTTTAGAGTAATTGTTTGCGTCTACTTTATGAAAAATATGCCACTTTACGAAAGCGAAAGAAATATCTGGACATTACAACTCTTTACCTCATCTTGAAGTAAATGGAAAGAAAAATAACAGAAATAGCAAATACTTTAGCCGAGCCCTTAGTACAGAAAATTACTCCCAAACCTTCTAAAAATACAAAACTCATACTGAAAATAATGTACTTAGACCTTCTCTTGAATCCCATAATGATTATAATTTTCCTCTAACAATGACTGAATTAAAATCTGAAATCAATAAATGTAAAGAAACATCTACAGACCCTAACAAAATACACAATAGTATGTTTAAATACCTCTCTGATACCCATTTGTAAATAATTTTAAAACTGTTTAATAGAGTTTAGCTGCATGGACAATTCCCGTCAGTATGGAGAAAATCATTTATAGTTGCCATTCTTAAACCAGGTAAGGACCCCGTACATCTCATTAATCACCGATCAATAGCTCTTACCAGCTGTCTATCTGTAAACCAATACACAACTTAAGGCTTTTCATTTACTGCTTTTTTAAAGATATTTTCTTATGCATTATTTGTTTTTTTTACTATTCATTTATGAAAACCTGTAATTCCAAATAAAAAAAAACTCTATTTGTAATTGAATCTGCAATGGTATTATGCATGTTGCAGTGCCGTAACTTCACCCCTCGGGGCTCTGGGGCAAAAATTTTTGGAGGGGGCCCTTTCAAAAACTTTCAGTACTCCATCTCTAACGTCATTTTAGCTATTTATGTATTATGTTTGCGAATATATTTATGAAAACAAGTTATTTGTTCGTATATAAATTGGATTACAAAACATTGTAAGTTTTCTACATGCTTCAAAATTTCAGCAAAATCGATTAATCCTGAGAAATTAAATTTTAAAAAAGTCGTTCTTATAAAGCTCAATTTCTCAGGAACTAATGCACTATTCAACCAATTACGCTCAAATTTGTATTTTCCATGTGGAATTAGATACTTTAAAATGATACGAAAAAAAAATTATATGGCTTACGATTCAAAAGTTTTCAGACTATTATTATCCCGAAGTGGAGTGATCGTTAAGACACGGTTCCCAGCAGATCACCGAAGTCAAGCATCCCTGGCTGCGGTCAGTGTGCCGGTGGTGACCACCTTGGAT